CTGAAACAAAGCACCCATGTTGTGTGAGTGAACATGGAAGGTTTTCCAGCTGCTGTCGGAGCCTCCTCGACTGGTGCGCCGTTCACAAAACATCAATGTTTTTAACGTTGGACATGTTTCCTGCCATCGCTCCACTCCCCTGGTCGGGGCTGGGACTGACTGTGGTCCCTTCTGCTGTCACTTTGAGCACATTTTCTCTTCCACTCCTATTTGAAGTCCTTTCATTGCCAGGCTTTGAACTGCCGTTTGTGTCTTACCCACACACCGCTTGTCTCCGGAGCTTCGTCTGGTGTTAAAATTGTCAGAGCCGCAGGCCAAGTTCCATCGCTGAGTGGTTTGTGTAATAACTAATGCAGATAGCCTCTTTATGGACTGGACACCAGCTCAGCAGCGTCCTGTCTCAGAGCTCTGATGTTCTTCTCTGCCCTTTGGATCTTTTGTTTATGCATTTTTAATATATTGTTTAGTGCCTGCACTGGAGCAGACGGCAGCAATCTATCATTTTCGCCCCATTTAAGAAGCTGAATTTGCCCTAAAATATACAAATCTGCTGGGAGATACCTGCAGCGTCTCACAATACTGGGGCTGTATTATGAAGTATTTGCTTCTGTTTTACTTTGATTGTTGGTTTTTCATAAGTATTGCCTTATTTGTATTTAATATAACTTCTAAAAAAGTGTGTGGGTTTGATCAAATAAGAAAAAGGAAAAAGCTTTCATAAAATCTGGGAAGTTTTCTTTCTTTTTTAGGAAACTCATATAGCACAGTCCCCACAGTAAAAATATTAGTGAATGTTAATAAAATCTCAACCAGTCATCAGGAAAAAAGACCTGTTCCACAGTGGGTTCTAAGACCAGCCTTCACAGCATCACAATTAGAATTATTTATTTTTTCTTTTTAAACCAAGATTGCTGCAGCAGCTCCAGTTTAACTCAAGAGAGGAATTAAACCCCTGTATGAATTATTTGCCCTGTTTCATCATTGATGAAAGCAATAATTAATACACATTTGACTCACGGGCCAAATGAAACCTGTTCAGTGGGCTGTGGTGGCCCCCAAGCCAGACTGTGGACACACTTGGTCTAATCTTAAATGTATGAATTGTCAGAGTGAGGCTTCACAGAGATCAAAACTTCATTTTCTGTATTCAACCTGCCTATTGTTGAGTTAGCTGGTTACGAACCTCAATATTTCACAATTTAACCCATAAATGCAAAATCTATTTTATAGCTTTTTTTTATAATGCTAAGTTACTGCTCTCCAGTGCACACCACAGCTATATATTTTGGACTGGATATTTCATTGTATCGTACCTTCCACACCGTTACTCTGCAAGCTCTGGAAACTGGATTTACGGGTCGTTATCCATCACAGTTTACATCACGTCTAAAACTATTTTCGTCAATGAAACACCAGCGTTTTGAGGTCGTCCTGAGTTGCTGACTTCACGGGTTTATTTGCCTTTAAACTGAAGGATCGTGCACCTGTAATTGAAAATGCTTTAAAGCAAATTCAGACATAACCAGAGCAACAGTTTGACAATGAAATAATAAATAACAGGAACTGTTCTCCATGATATATGTTGTCCTTTTGAAACCTGGGTCTTATCGGCAGTTCTTTCCTTCCACGGTGCAGCAGCAGACCGTCTGAAAACTCTCTCTCTCTAAGTATGCAGTGCCTGATGCCTTTGTACGCCTGCTTCATTCACAAAGGGCCTTCAGTAAACTTGTGCTGTGCTTGTTAGCCTAATGACAACAGCAGTGTGAGTGGCCAGTAATGACTTGGACCTCAGTGAGTCTCCAGTGGATGAAACCAACTCAGTCCTGAACAGGAGTCCACTTATTATGAGAGAGACCCCGGGGGAAAGATTTTTAGTTACTGCAGTGATGGCACAGTGCCTGTCTCCTGGCGTAATGGTAGTACAGAGGACTGCTGGTGAGAATTCTGCAGCTTGAAGTGTGACCGCTTACACAGTCTCTGCTTTGTTTCCACTTGGGCTCTGAAAAAAACAAGCTGTCTCCTGTTAAGCCACCGTGGTTTCTGACTAAAAAACAAAGATTCCTGGATGAGGTACTGGTACCTTGGCTGCCACTTGGAGTATACTTTATTTTAAAAAAATTACTCTGGTCTAAACGTATGCCTGGTTGATGATAAGGAAAGAAGTTATTTGAAACATTTTTTTTTCTTTTGCCAATCTTCACTGGCACTTGTTCCCGGTTGCAGGATACGTCGTCTTGTAAAGTCAGAAACTTTATCGTTAATGTGCAGATGTCGGCGTTATTATAAAATGAACTCAGCCCCAAGCTAAAAAAACAAGGTTTATGATCTACAGCCAGAGATACGCTGCACACGTCAGCATCACCGCTGTGTTTTACTGTGTTTAACAGCTGTGTGTCTGCTGCAGGCTTTTTATTTGTTTTATCAATTCAGTCAACGGCTACTGGAAATTCTGTGGCTGTACATGAACTTGGAGTTTCACAGAGGCATGAAACAGCTGCTGCAGAGTCAGAACCCCGAGTACCCTGAGTACACTGAGTACCCTGAGCACACTGAGTACCCTGAGTACACTGAGTACCCTGGGTACACTGAGTACCCTGAGCACACTGAGTACCCTGAGTACCCTGAGGACACTGAGTACCCTGAGTACCCTGAGGACACTGAGTACCCTGAGTACCCTGAGGACACTGAGTACCCTGAGTACACTGAGTACACTAAGTACACTGAGTACCCTGAGCACACTGAGTACCCTGAGTACCCTGAGGACACTGAGTACCCTGAGTACACTGAGTACACTGAGTACCCTGAGTACACTGAGTACACTAAGTACACTGCTACTACTATGTGTGTTTCCTAATCTGATGTTTGGCCTCATCTTGTTCAATATGTTTAGTATTTTCTTTAGTAAAATCAGTATGTTTGGTTGCATGGCAGTTACAAAATGTGAAAATTAGGGCATTCAAAATAAATGTGTTAGTCATGTTAAGTTAAACACGTTTAAAACATATTTTTAAACAATTACAGTTTTTAATACATTTTGATGCTTGGGTCAATGGTCATGGAATTTTTCCATGACCATACACTCATCGTTGCTCTAATCCAGTGGTTCTCCAGCTTTTAAACTCTGTACCACATGAGAAAACACTGAGCTCCCTGAGTACCACCACGATGACCAACATTAGAATATAGCTTCCCTGTTAGCTTCCACCACAGGAGAGATGTTTAGAAAGATGTTTATGTTGAAATGTTGTTTTAATTGTGCATGGTATGTTTCAGATTTATTCAACTGAAAATATTAATTTTCTCCACGTACCACTAGAGTGCGCTCACGTACCGTTGGTGGTACGCGTACCACAGTTTGAGAACCACTGCTCTAATCCACAGCATGTGTTTGTGGAGGCTTGGTGTCAGACCAGCCAACCAAGCACAGGACAGAGGCTTCATCAAAGTTTTAAAAACAACTCTATGAACATGTTCTACCGGCCGTCCTTCAGACGTACAGCACAGTTTCTTCATATTAACGACCACATTGTTTGGATTAGTCACAAAAACACATACATCTACCTGCTGTTCTCTGTCTTCTGTCCCTGCAGTACAACTCGAGTATACACCCACCTGTTAACATGCTGTTCACTTCGTGCCCCTTCGTCTCTGTCACATTCTGAATGCCAGTGAGAGATTCGTGTGTCATCGTGTCCTTGGACTGCTGTGGTGTAAACAGCAGTGTTTACTTGACTACATGGCAGGAAAACAGTCCCCTGAACACCAGACCCATGAGGCTAAATTCACCTTGTTACCCTTTTAATTAGTAGGTGCAGTTAATAGTGCTGTCTGCTCCTGCCACCTTAGCACTCTGCTCCGACTTCAAGAATCCCTCCGATCGATAGCCATGAGTGGGACTGAGACAGAGAGATGAGCAGCGGGGAAGTGGGATCTATTGTTGGAGCAGCTCAGGTGCATTTGTAATGGATTTAGAAGAGAATGCAAATAGGATTCAACTCTCCGAGGAGACTTGGAGATCCCAGGTACCAAAAAGTGCATTATTGTTACATAGGATAACAAGGTCCCTGGGTTCCAGCGTCTCCTTTTCCACATTTTCTCCCCTATGAAAATGACTGTAATAAAAAATCTAAGGGTTTGCTCTGCAGATTCTATTGCCCCCTTATAGGCTTTTATTCCCACCAACTGCTCGCCCCGTGCTCATTTCTCTTCTTGTTTTGATTTAAAGATGCAGTGGAAGTACTTAGCATTTAGATGACATGCTGCCGGAGAGGTGTGATGGATCAGTGCCTCTTCAGAGGACTGAATTTCCTCGACAGTGCCGCAGCAAGTCGACCGAGCAGGACAGACAGAGCGACAGATCGCAGGACGACGGGCTGGGTGGGCAGCGGAATATCAAGTCTGTCTCAGTGCTGCAGAAAACCCTGGCACAGCTGAGAGGAGAGGCATCACCGCTGTGAATGCCAATGCAGTGCCCGGGCAGCCGTCTCGCTTTGGCTCCTCTGATTGGTTAAACAGACCATTAGCTTCCTGATTATGATTAGCAGAGTCATTATCTACTAAAAAGTGACTCATTCACCGACATAAAGAAGGCGAGGGAGCTCTTTTGCGTCCTGTGGTCAAGTGGAAAATAGAGTTGTTTCCTGTGTTGGTTTAAAGATGAATGCAGGAGGATCACAGGAAAAACAAAATGGAGCAATCGTAACATCAGCGTCCTGCAGCCGGTGTCTCCACTGAGAGGAAAACTCTCTCTCGTTAGTGCGGACCATGTTGTGGCCATTACTCGCCTGTATGTTTCGCTCATGGGAGAAAAGCTGTTTCTTCAGAGGTCATAAAAACATGCAGGGAAACAAAACAATCTTCATCTCCCGCCGTCTCGCTGCAGAAATCATTCGAACGGCCACCGTTTGTGCTTTTAAATTGACATATGCTGTTCTTTGTCCGAGGCCAACACACTCAGCCCTCTGTTTCTTTGATCCTCACCTTCTGCTTCTCTTTTACAGCCTTTGCCCAAGGAGCCGTCGTAGGCAGCAGGGAACACAGCAGGTACGTCTGTTTTAATGATGGCTTTTATTCGATTTTTACATACTGAGTCGTCGAGTTCACATTCGGGCCAGTCTCACAGGAAACCACACACTTTGATCACAGCATCTTCAATGATCTTTGAAGATCTTTGAGGAATAAAACAATGTTTCCACTGAAAATAAATTTTGTTTTTAAGCAACAACAATGAATTATCCCTAATTGTCAGAAAATGTCAGATTATGTTATTTGTTGTTGATTAAGTTAGTATGACTGCATGGAAGGTACTCTTTATATTGACAACCAAGAACAAAATAAGGTGAAATTATATTATTTTAAAAAATATATTGATTGATGACAGAATGAGAACAGGTTGTTTTACCGTCTCCAAAAAGGCACTACATCTGTTGGAGGGCTGATTAATTTAAAATGTTTTATTCACAATTATTATCTGTCTCTATATATATATATATGTATATATATATATATAGACAGATAATAATTGTGAATAAAACATTTTAAATTAATAGTATGTGTTTTGACATCAACATTATTCATCTCAACACATTAGTTTAAGGTGTTAGTTTAACACATTTTCTTTGCTGTTAATGATGAAAATAAAATTTAAAAATAAATAATAACATGTTTATAAATTATTTAACATTTTTAAAATTCTTCTATTCAACTTCCTAACTCATATATATTAGAAATATTTTATAGTATAATATTAAACTTGTAGATAATTATTTTTGGTATTAGGGTTTTAGTTTTTATAAAACTTCTCCCACTTCATTACATCTATTCAACTTCTTTACCCACAGTAAGCCATGCATACATTATAGAGATGACATGATGTTGATTTTGACACAGAAAATTCCCATGAGACAAATACATGTTGTATAAGGGACTCTGAATATAACCAAGTTGTTGTTGCTACAAGTACTGGGCTGAAGATTCTAGAATCTTAACTATCATTGTGGTTTACACAGAAGTGGAGAATATAATCCACTGAGTTGCAGATGACTGCAGAAACACTCATTCCTTGAAGACATTGTTGTAAAATGAGATTTTAAAAAAATCTCTGAGGAATTTTCGTTTGAAATACTATCAAGAAAGTTAAAAAAATCTCTGAGTAATTTTCGTTTGAAATACTATCAAGAAAGAAAGAAACAGACCATCCAGACACAGCAGTGTTGGATACTGAGGCCAGACTTTGATTTGAAAAGTGTCTATTCATCAACAAGTATTCTTTAAAACTGAGCTCAACACTGAGCCTAAATTAAAATGAACATTTAAGAGTAGAGAAAAAAACTTAAAAGCTTGAAACCTCTGAAGTATATGTTTGTGGATATTTTTTTAAATTAATTCTCTATCTCCTCTCAACAAAAGCAGCGACCAGAACAATCTTCTCTGATTTCCAATAGCAGTGTTGACATGACCTCGGTGTTTGTATTTTGAGACCATCATCAACAATCACTGCAGGTTACTGCGACTCTGCTGGAAAGTTATTTTCTGAAACATTTGACTTTTGTCTAAAATAAAAAATAAAAACTAGAAAAGAAATCTGCGACAGATTAAAGTGAATCCATCTCCTAAGAACATTGACTGAGTACCTGTGAAGCTTTTATGCTCTGCAGAAACCACAGGCATTTGGAATCTGCATGCTCTATGTCTCCTAGCCAATATTTGAAGATTGATTTTCCCTCTTCCACAGAGAAAACAAAATGAATCACGCACAATTACCAAGGACGGGGGGGAAGAGGGGAATTGGGGGCATCATAAATATTTATTTGCCAGCCCTGGGAATTTGTGCAATTCTGTGTGGATTTGCCAAGTCATATTTAAGTGTCTGAATGATTTATATGGTCAGTGGTGGGCGTCACATTTGTCCACTGTCACCCCTAATCATCTGTGTTTTTAACTTGTATGGACTTATCCATATAACACGCTCACGGCCCATTATCCCATTATCATTCCAATTTGTTTCTTCATCAATGATAAATAAATGACTAAATAAAAGTATCAACTACAGATCAGCAGGAGTGGAATTCTCCAAGGAAAAGATCATATTTTTAAGTCTGCAAAAAAGCTACCACTTATAAAACTAATTTAAGCTTAAAACTGTGGTTGTGTCGTTTATTTTAATCATGAGGGCAATTTACAAGAGTGAATACAGATATTTTTTTTCATAAAAAATTCTAATTTGCAAACAATAGATTTTTCTAATAATCTGTTATTGCATTTCACAATATACATTTATTGATTTATTATCATTTATTAACATTTATGGAGTAACTGAAGGATTTGCAAAAGATGATAAAACAAAATAAATGTATGTACATTCATATATACATTCATGCATACATACACAAATAAAACAATGGGCTCAGATGTAGACCTCTGTTTCACATGTCTGCTGTAGATAGTATTGTTTTTAACAAATACCTTGATTATTATTATTATTATATATTAGTATTATATATTATTATTATTATTAACTCATAGGTGAAACTGAACTGGATTTATAGCCGTGAACAGCAGTGATCTGTCCATCAGGGGCCTGATGTTAATATTCCTCATCAGCTTCACCCAATTATTCCTGAAAGGAAAGGATAAAATATTCCAAAGCATAATTTCTGTTTCATAAAGACTGACAGCACATGAGCACAGTGACAAGAGGTTAATGCAGGACTTCCATTTCATTTTAATTGTCTCACTCTGCTACTTAAAGGAAAACGTGTGTGTCTATCTGTCCGTGTGTGTGCGTTTCCTGTTGTATAATAAGGTGAAATCAATTAAAGACGACAATAAAGGAGGTAGAACTTCCTGGATCTCTCAGTGATGTGACAACAAATGAAGGTTATAAAAATGTTTATGGTGGTCGTTATAATAATTAAAGACACAACATCTTTTCCTGGTGGAGGAGACATGATCATGGAGTGAGATGCTGAGTTTATTAGGCTTATTACAGACAATTAACCACTGGGCATCTTCAACCCTGTTTTGTAAGGCTGTTATCTCTGCCTTGACAAATTTAACTACGATGTTGTGTAGTTCATTTTACATGTTTTCCTACAAATGGCCATGGTGTGGCACACAAACATTGCTGAGTGGGTTCTTTATTTTTGTTAAAGCCACCATGATGTTAGTAATTTGACTTTTAAAAAAGACTCTTCATAAAACAGCTTTTAAAGATTGGATTAGTATCATTTTTTCATTTGGCTCATTTCAAGCTAACTATCTTATTTATTCCAGGTCTAAATTTGAGTTTTTGTCTAAGCTAAGTTTTCAGCTATTTTTTAATACATTTTACATTTTCTTTCCTTCTAGCTTAAACTCTTCTAGCTAAATATATTTGATGCCGTATTTTATGATGTTTTGCTATTTCTTGTGTTTATTTTGTGTTAACTTTTAGATCAAATCTAATTAGCTAGATTTGATTTTCTTTGTCGCTTGTTATAATTAAGTTCCCACTATCTTTCATCATCATTCCAAAAAATCTGTAATTAAACCTTCAGCTTTTAATCAGAGACCATGCAGCTATTTGGTTTTTGTAAACTTTAACCTATTTCATGGTTAACTGGTTGTGAATTAATAATGTCCTCTACAGCCTAACTCCAAAAATATAATAAATATACACAGTATAAATCTTGATGACATGAATTTAATGTCACATCCAGTTTCTTTGCACTAAATGAATTCGACCAATGAAATCGTCTGGTTCATCATGTGTCTCTGTCTTGTCTTCTGTTCTTCTATAGGCTCAGTGACGTCCATATCTCCAAAAGGAACTGATGCCAGTTACTGCAACCCAACATTGTGCCCATTCACCAACAAGCCTCCGAAACTTTACAACCGGCCTGAACTTCAGTTTTAATAAAAAAAAAAACATATTATATATATATATGAATATATGTAAATGAAAGTCAGCCCAGGCTTCACCAATTACCACAGAGTCCGAAAAAAACTTTTAAAAAAATTTGCCAAAATTGGAGAACGTGAGCAGCATGGTCCACCATCATTTACGAGTTCCCACTGCAGTCAAATTAATGGCCACTGTAGAATAAAACCCCTGCAAAGATCTTTTTCTCTTTTTTTCCAACTTTTTTTACCCTCTCTTTTCTGGCCACCATCCATCCTACTGGGGACAACGACTTGATTTTTTGTGTGTGTGTTCTTTGTGGTTTGATTTAGACTTTGTGAAAAAGTCTTTGAAAACTCAGCTTCTTCGCTTTTATCACCATGAAACTGCCCAAGGTTACATTTCGGCCAAGTTTCTTTGTAAGAGCCTTCATTGTTGAAATCAGACTCTAATGTCCGCTGGATTCTGGCCTTTCACACACAATTCTCTCTCCTTTGCCGGGCAAAACTTTTTAAGGCCGTGGCCTCTTATTATCTCTGCTCTCAAAGTTTGGATTATCCCGATGTGGAAAAAGCATGGAAGACAGTCTGAGCGTCAAAGAAGAGACAATTAAAATGAAAAGATTTCTTTGCCTCTGTGAGTGAAGGACGTTGTGGTGAAATGTTTCGGACGACTTCGCTTATATCTCATGTTTTATTTTAAGTGTGGTGCCAACGTAGACTAGAAAAGTCGTACCTGAGCCTCTCACATCTCGAACACCTCACCGGGAGCATTTAGCACATGTACCACTGGCTCAGTGTGTGTGTGTGTGTGTGTGTGGTGTGGTGTGGTGTGTGTGTGTGTGTGTGTGTGTCCGTGTGGGAGAGAGAACATGCAGAGTTACACTGTGAAAAAGTCATATCCGATGCATCAATCATACTCTTGTATATCTTTTAAACTTGTCACAATCAGATATTTCACCTGGAAAGAAGCATTTGTGATTTTACAAGTGTTGGATTTTATTTGTATCTTTGTAGATGAATCCTTTCCTGTTTTTCTTTCTCATCCTTACTTTAACACTATAGCCATATTTATTTTGGGGGGGAGAATACTATTAAAACTGGGTACAGCTCTAAAGTATGTCATATAAGTTAAATTCTGTAATTGAAAAAACAAATGTATGTGTGATTAAAATGTAGTTCAGAATCCTTGACTAAACTGTTAAATATTTTGATATGAAATGTTTTGGTGTGGATCCAATTAAAGACAAAAAGAGTTTAAAGAAAATACAAGTAGCACAACAGTGAGACAAGAGGGCAGAGTAAAAAAAACAACGCTATGATTTCACACAAAAAAACACTAAATAAAACCCACAAAACACAGTGTTGCGGAGTTATTGCATTAGATCAGAGTATACTGTGCTGTCCAGAGGTGTCCAGATCTTCCTTCTGCTCCTAATTTTAAAAAGTGGAATTCATTGTTTTTCTACGGACACAGTAATAACTTTGCATTCTGAGGGCTTCACGACCGCAGATTGCAAACATTATTGCCACGTGTGTTTCCTTCATACAGTTGTGTTACTGAATGTATACCTTTGAAGGTTAAAGAGTCGCAGCTCACACCAAGAATCACAGGTGTAGTCACTCTGTTTCCTTCAGTTTGACACAAACTATTAAATACTAGGTTTGATTCAACACGACTGCAGGTAAGTGACTGTTCGTCTGTTTGTAACTGCTGCGAAGCTGAAGGAAATCCATATACAGTACATTATGTTAAATGATTTTAAATGTCAGCTGAGTAATTGAACGCTCTTACGAGTATATCCAGCATCACACGCAGTACTCACTAAAGTAGGAGTTGACACTGTGCTGCTGATGTCATGTAAGTAGAGAACGGACTGAGGACTTGTTCTCACACTGACAAAACTAAAATGCTTTTTGTTGTTGTCAAGTCTTTTTTTCCTTCTAAAATGCTGTTCCTGTTGTTCCACGTTGTTATGAAAGAGGGATTAAATGATCAACTCTCCTCCAATTATTTTCCCAACATGAAGCTACAGCAGAAACCCGGACAAACAAAAGCCGATAGAAAGTTTTCTTTTGCAGACTAAAGAAAAACCTGACATTATATAATATATAGCGCTCACAACTCAAAGTGTATTATCACAGCTGTCCACTGCACTTTAACGCTGCCTTAGCGTTTGTGTCATTTTTCTTTTAACTTTATATTTTATTTATTCATTTATTTATTTTATGATTTGTGTTCTATTTTAACTAGTCATTTAGATACTGGTCATTTTCATACCACTCTTCATTAGGTTAGGTCTCTAGTTAATGAAAGAATATAATTTACTTTGGTTTCACTCTTTGGCTCTTCAGAACAGACATTCAAGCCAGAGAACTAAATGAAAGGAAACTCCCTCACAACCTGTGAACACCATTAGCAATTATATTTAGAGTCTCATTCAGTGTAGAAAATAGGTCAAAGGGTTGCAAAAAACATGCGGTATAATGAGGAATATTGTGTGTTCCACTTGGCTGTGAACAGAGCAGGCGTGTTGTAAATCCTGTGGTTGCTGTTGGAGCAGCGTTAGCACTCACCTCCCACTCAGTTTGCGGTGTTCTTTGGGCAAAGCCCTTGCTGCTGCTTTCTCCCATTTTCAATTTCTGTCTTGCTGTCTCAGGTTTTTGAACGCAGGCTGCTGTTGGGATCAACAAATGGTACAACGGTGGTTTCCTACCGCCCGTCATCCACGGTACGAGCACAGAATGTTCACTAGGAAGCACTTTCCCTTGCCAGGAGCAGACAATGGGGCTGTCATGAAGCTGCTAAGTGGGAAGTTATAACCACAGCTGTGTGTTTTGATTGTGAAAGAACTGCTATGTTCCCTGGCTCTTAGGAGTTTTGAAAAGCTACACTGAGCATTTGGAATAGGGCTCCTTCGATGTAATTATTATGATCAGTCATTGACTGGATTATAGGAGGAGAAAATCACCAATTAGTGCGAGCACATGGGAACGTGTCCAATAACCGATGAATTAACTAAAGGGAACTGTCTTTAAATGTTCTGCATATGTGGGTGGACTGAATGACAGGGTTTGTTTTTAGAAAGTATGCAAAGACACTGAATAAAATAAATACTGGCGGCTAACTTCAGCAAACAACTGCCATTCTAAAAATAACAAGCTCTTTCTATGAACCAAAGGTGTTAGGGTTATTTATTTATTTTTCCTTGAAATCAAATTCATACCTCCTTGGTATTAGCATATGCTTGTGGCTAAAAAAAAAAGCTCAAGTGCGAAACAGTAACGTCCCTTTTGTGACATAATAGAATCTGACAAGTGATTGATCCAGGTCGGTCCTGCAGTTGTTCCTGAGTGGCCCTGCCGTGGCATACTTTTTGTGCAGTAGTACCAACCCTAAAGGCCTTGTAGGCCTCATTGTGTTCTTGTTTTGCCGCCACGGCCTTGTCGTCTACAATAGATCCCTGGTCGAGCCTAATGAGACACAAACAGACCCCAGAGGTTCTGGCTGACTTGCTTTACATGGCGTCATTTGAACAGAGCAGCAGTGTAGCAAATTAGCATTTATGCTCACATAAAAATCCATTTACTGAGCCATTAGCTTAGCATAGTGCTAATGATTTGCCGGTTATGACTCGCAAGGGGCTTTGGTTAGCGAGTGGATCATCATTAACACTTACAAGGCAACAAGCCTGGGAGATTAGAGATTAAAATCAAAGTCACTTTACTATGACTCTTCAGATCTGTACCAGTTTGGAAATCTTTTGCGTTATCCCTCAAGCTAATGGTGAGAACTCAGCAGTCTACAAGTACAACCTGTCCCAGATTATCTGAGCAACTACGGCTCCACAAATGGAATACAACTAAGTCATCAATGTAATGACCTTCAGGCAGCTTTTTATTAACTCCTGGTGAGGGATCTGACATTCAAACAGCACATATATTTAAGTGTCACACTCTGCTGTACACTCAGACCTGCTGCTGATGGTATGTGCAGTGTGGCACCATGCCATAGCTACTTGACGCTGATGAATGTGTCGAGCAAACATGCCCCTGAATTAAGTGTCACTCACACCACAGCGTGATTTCCTGTGAGGGGAGAAGCCACAGCTTCACCTGAAGATGTTTCCTCACCGCTGCTGTAGCCTCTCGCGGTACGGGGGCCACTTCGTGTCGCCGCCACACTGTGGAGGAGTTAGCTTCAGGGGAAAGATGAAGGTATAAAATGGTCGTTTTGCTAGAGCAACACAAGCTAATTTATCATTCTCCAGGGGTCAGGCGATGCTTCCCTGGTTGTGAATTTTAATGTTGTTTTTTATGGGTCTTAATAAACTCTATTTTGCTGCAAGCTTTTATGCAGGAGAGCACACCATCCTTCACTTGGCTCATTTAGTTAGTCAAGGGAAGACGGTCCAGAGCCAAATTTAACCAATAGAGTTATCGTCATCATTATTGCCTAAATCTAATAGGACAAAGAGAGGTGAAAGGTGACAGATAATGGAAGTCAGTGACATGTTCTAGAAGAACCGTAGAGATCCAGAGGTATCATTTCTACATGTTTCTAGAGACAGCATTTTATAGGTTTTCACCTCTTTTCCTTTTAGGACACAAAAGAGAACAACAAAAATGAAAATAAAATAAGCACGTGCATTTTACTGTTTATTGCTTTTTTAATGTACCATTGATTAAACACTTAAAAAAGAATGTACACTGAAAGTGTTCTCATAATATTTCTTATCATCATAGTAAAATTAAAGTACCTGATCTTGAACTGAATTTCTCTAAACCTTTCATCCAGCGTCAATACCTCAGTCTTTCTCGTTTGTCACACCAAAAAATAAAAGAAGTTGTATTTTATATTAAAAATATACATATTCATTTTTAGAATTGGCAAGTGGATTTCAACTCAAGCATCCTGGGCTAATAACAACACATTTACAAATTTAGCCATAAGATACTAAAGTTGTCCTGTAACTTTAGCTTTTTAACTAACTTTTAGCAAATTCTCATTTTCCCGTTTCTCCGTATATTTGGCTTTTTTTGGGTTTCAGCTGGTGTTACCTATTTTGCTGTGTTTTTCAGCTCCCCTTTGCATTTTGGGTTTTTTAGATGATCTTTTAGTTAACTCTAAACACTAATTAGCATTTGAATCATAAGTTGATTTCCAGCACCTAAGGTGAAGACACTTTTCATAGTAATTGATTGCTGTATTTTGTCATGAAAAAAGCTTTATAAGCTCAACTAATAATTCAAAAAGGCAACTGTTGTTTTAATAAACGACCGCAGATCCTCTTAGCATCACAATTCTAACATTTCACATCATTTAAAGTGATAATTACAGTTTGCATGTTACAGAGACGGTTTCTAAAGAGGCAGTATTTCGTGCCAGACTCATTTTCAGATAATCCCTAAAAACAGGAAGGAGGAGGAAGAAACAAAAAAGTGTCAAGGATGAGCGTGTGTATTGGTCTAAGTGCATTTACCACCCACTCAGCTCTGCTTTGTGCATTTAAATTGTTTTTCGTGGAACAAAACAGTGTGCCTAATTTCAAACTTATCATTAAAGATAAAGGTGGGTTTTATTTTTTTAATGTTCCTCTGCATGAGCAGATTCTATTTTCATAAATTAAATGTGTATCGAAGCACAAGGAGGGAATAACAAACAGCAAGTTTACTTAAAGCCCACTTTTCCAAATATAATTACTTTAAGATTTGCCTCCACTGGGATTTGGAGAGGACGCTGAATATTTCATTTCAAAGGCATTCTATTCTGGGGCAAAGTACAAAAACGGTGTGTTCTAGGAATAGAAATCTGCTGTAGAGTGGAGAAACAATGGGAAACATTTGGGCTCACACTTTACAAACCAAATCCAGAGCAGTACTTCAAATGGACACTAGGGTCAGAACAGGTACGGTCTTAAAAGTAAACTTATTATACAAATAGTGATAAAGGGCTTGTTTTTGTTTTTTGTTTGGGTTTTTTTTTTACATCTTATCTTCAAAATGTATGCTTGAAACTTCAATCTGAGAAAGAATATTGAATTCTCGGGACTGCATATAAAAAGGTACCAAGTCTTAGATATCTCACTATGTATTGCAGTGTGTAATAATGGGTCATCCACGGAAGCTGTTTCCACACTGTGTAAAAACAACATCCAGACTGAGAAAAAAAAAACTCTTTTTCCTGATCAAAAGTTCTCTTTTTTTATAAGAATAAGGATTTGGAAAAAGTACAGGCATGTCTCTCTGTTTGAGATTAAATTTTAATTGTTTCAATTACTTCTAGCCTGAGCCATAAATTACAGGATTAGAGGTACATGTTGACTTACCCTCTGGAATTTGAGATAAC